GAAGTTATAGACTACTCTAAATGTAAAATATTAATGAGAATCTCTGCCTAAGAAATATTATACTTCCGCACAGTAGCTACTTTAACTAACACAGATAGGCTCATGAGATAAAAACTGAAAAACATACACTGGATTTAGCAATTAAGAAGTAGGTCATTGCATACTTTAATGAGAACAACTTCAATAGAAAGGTAAAAAATAGATTACAGCTTGTTGAGAAATTAATAGAATGAAAGTGAAGATAGAAAGTGTAAACTACTATCTGGAGAAATTTAGGTACAATAACTCTCTTTTTAAAGTTTTGATTAGATTGAAGGAATTTCAATGTTTATATCTTCAATAAGAAAAAATTAAAATAAGAAATATAAGATAGGAAATAGGAGTAAGATTGACAGGAGGAAGAAATAAACATTCATGTATACCAGTAAGTGGATGTTCTTGAAAAGAAGGAAAGTTATCTGCTACCATTCAAAGGAAGAAAAGGAAACTCTCAAGAAGGAAGGGTACACATTTCCTAAAGACAGTAATTGTCTTAACTCTAGAGACAAGGTTGATTACTGACAGTGAGAAGAATAGGGAAAAATAAATAATAGAGCATTGAGGTTTACAATGTTTAAACAAAGCAAGAAAAATAATCTAAATGATAGTGCCATTAAATATACATACACACTCTCCATATATTACATTAAAATGTACTTTTTTATTTGGCCAATCTTGGGGCTTGAACTCAGGGTTTGGGTGCTACCCCTAAGCTTTTTCACTCAAAGCTAGCTTTCTACTACTTCAAGTCACAGTGATACTTCTGGTTTTCTGGTGGTTAATTGGAGATAAAGAATTTCATGGATTTTTCCTGCCCGGGCTTTGAATCGTGATCCTCAGATCTCAGGTTTCTGAGTAGTTAGGATTACAGATGTGAGCCACTGGTGCCTAGCATTAAAATATATTTCTAGTAACTGTTTTGAAAAATAAATTAGGGACATGTGGTTAAGATGGTAAAACAGGAATAAGACTGACTTTCCTATCTGAAAACACAAATAAATGGGCATAATCTATGAAATATCAGTTTTCAAGATTCATTTTATAGAAAAAAGGGAATTATCAGAAAAAAGAAATGAAGTGAACTTCAGCTTATTTTCTGTGAGGAAGTTTCCAGGCCACAGAACAGGAAGGGTTAAAAGACAAAAGGCAAAATTAGGAAGAAAAGAGCAGACAAAGTTCATAAGATGATTTCACCTTAAATATTTAGCAAAACTCTGATTACCATAGCTATGTGAGGAAAATCCCAGAGTGGGGGAAGAGTTTACCCAATAGATTAGAGGGAAAATGTATACTACTCATATAAGGCTGGGAATGATGCCTATACCATAAAACCAAGCTGGAAAGCTGGATATTAGGTAGGATATTAAGAAGAGTTCTGCCCCAGTTTTGTTAGTAAATATTAAAACATGACTCAAAATGATAAAACTGTGCTAAAGTAAAGCAATAGAGTCATGTAACCAGCACAAGACAAGGTTAAATTCAGTGTCCAGTATCCAATAAAAATTAATTAGATGTGTAAAGAAATAAGAAAATATGGCAGAAAATTCAACCAAAAAAAAGGCAGCAGAAATCAACATAGATGTTAGGATTTCTAAACAAGGATACTTCTATGCAGACCTACTTACTAGAGTTCTACTTTTTTATTAGTTGGGGTGTTTTCTGGGATGAGGTTTAACTTATGTAATTTCTATGAACGATGTGCTAAACCAAACATAAATATACAATACTGAAAGGCATAGGATAAAGGTTTGAGATTTTTGTAAGCATGCTAAAAGGTTTTTTTGGTAGATTCATATCATATTGAAAGAAATACTCAAAATACCTTGTTACCTCATCAAAGAAAAAGTGTCTATAATAACCCCAATGTTTTAAAGTTTTATTTGATAGTAGATACATTATAGCAATCACAAACAGGCTTTTGGAAAGGGAGGCTTAAACAACAGCAATTTATTTCTGACAATTTTGGAAGCTACAAGTCCAAGATCAACTTTACAGTAAGGTTTGTTTCCTCTTCCTGGTTTGCTGATGACCATCTTCTTTTCAAGAGCTCTCCTGGCTCTTCCTTGGTATATAGGCAGAGAGAGCTAGTAAGATTTCAGATGGTCTGTTTTCATCAGGACATAATCCTCTAAGAACAAAGTCCTATCCATATGACTTAATTTCTCCCATAAATAAAGACCCTATTTCCGAAAACAGTCACACTGGGAGTTTGGCCTTCAACACATTAAGGGAGAATACAATGTGTAGTCTAGAACATGAATGTTTTTAGTATTTCCAACAATTATTCTAACCCTTCCTTTTTCCCCCCCCTTTCTATCTCAGCTGTGAGACTAATAATATATATGTTGGACAAGTCCTGAGATTCAAATCATTCTTTATACTAACTCAACGCATCATCCTTTAGAGAAAAAGAAACATTTAGGTACTACAGAATGAAGCAACTACAGAATGTAGTTGGAAATGGTCCATACAGGCAGCCTAGGGGATGACAAATGAATCATAGATAGGGGGAGGGAGCAGCAAGATAGCATAGATAAGGGAAAAAATGTTTAAAAATTGGTGTTTCTACAAAGTATCATGATAAAAACAATAGAAGTGAATGTTCATGTTAATAAAATTATTCCAGCACTTGATTATGTAAAATATATTTATAGAACTTTAAAAAATTTTGAATATGTTTTCTAGGTAAAATACCACAGACCAAGTAATCACAAAAAAATGCAGTTAACCGGGTACTGGAGCCTCATGCCTATAATTCTAGCTACTCAGGAGGCTAAAATATGAGATTGCTGTTCAAAGACAGACTGGTCAGGAAAGTCTGTGAGCCTCTTTTCTCCAAGTAACCCCCAGAAAACCGGAAGTGGCAGTGTGGCTCAAAGCGGCAGAACACTAGCCTTGAGAGATAAAGCATAGAGACAGCATCCAGGTCCTGATATCAAACCCCATGACCACCACCAACCACAACAAAAAACACAGTTATCATGCCTTTCATTATGATTTTTTTTGGGGGGGCAATTCAGCCCAAGGCAAGCACTCTACCACTTCAGTCACAGCACCACTTCCGGTTTTCTGGGGGTTAATTGGAGATAAGAGTCTCACGGACTTTCCTAACCAGCCTGGCTTGGAACTGTGATCCTCAGATCTCAGCTTCCTGAGTAGCTAGGATTACAGGTGTGAGCCAAAAGCGCCCTGCTTTTCATTGTGATTTTTAGGAAGTATAATCTTGTTTTGCTTTAAAATAGATTAAATGCAAAAATTAGTAAGGGACATTTTGGGGATGGTGGAAATATTCTACATCTTAATTGGGATAATGGTTATATAAACATAAATACTTGTCAAAACGTATAGAATTTTATGCTTAAACCTGGCCAACTTTATTCCACATAAATCATAGCTTGACTTACCAAAAGCAGAAACCAAACGCAGAGAGGTGCCTAGTATTCTCACATATAATAGAGAATAGTTAATCAATCCTCAATAAACCCCTAAGCAGAAGCGTAAGTTCTATATGGCCACACATGAATGAAGACCTCCATACAGTTAGTCCCTTACTAGGCATTTCATTAGAGACAGAAAGGAGCAGGCACAGTAACCTTAAACTGAAATTCCAGGACTTGAGAGGTGAAAACAGAAAAATTGAGTTTAGGTCAGCCTCGGCTACATAATAAATTATTATCTGAAAATACAAAACAAACAACAAAAACTCCCTAACAACAATTTAAAAAAAGAAGAGAAAGAAGGAAGTGGGGAAAAGGAGGAGAGGCAGGGAAGCAGCTAGTGTAGTTTCTTCAACTCCATGTTCTCTCAGTAACTAAATGTTCAGCATATAGTAGGTAATTTTAGTAAATGCTTGTAAATAAAAATACAATTATAAACTCTTAAAGCTCTTTTAAAAGACCTGATACATTCAATTGTTCTAACATTCAATAATTAAACAAACACATTAGTAAATATTGCCTATTTCATTCTTTCAAAGTACCCTGTGCCACTATTTTGAGACATAAATTAAGAATGTTTTGTGAACCTGGTGTGGTGGTAAACTGCTATAATCCCAGTACTTGGAGGCTGAAGTAGGAGGGCTGAGATTCTCAAGACAGCTGGGGTCATAGTAAGAACCAGGGAGGGAAGGAGGGAGGAAGGAAGGGAGGGAGGGAGGGAGGGAGGGAGGGAGGGAGGAAGGAAGGAAGGAAGGAAGGAAGGAAGGAAGGAAGGAAGGAAGGAAGGAAGGAAGGAAGGAAGGAAGGAAGGAAGGAAGGAAGGAAGGAAGGAAGGAAGGAAGGGGAGGGGGGCGCTGGGAAGGTGGCTCAGTGGTAGAGCGTTTGCCTTGCATACATGAGGCCCTGGGTTCAATTCCTCAGCACCACATAAGCAGAAAAAAAAAAAAAAAAGAGGGAAAGGAAAGGAAAGAAAGCTTTATGCATCATACTGGAGTTATTAATTTTTTTGTCTTTGTTTTTGGAGACAAGAGTCTCACTATTTATTTAGCCCAGGCTGGCCTAGAACTATCAAGCTTCCTAACCCAGTTTTCTAAATGATTAACTTTTAATTCATGAGGCAAATATTTCACATACATCTTTATTAATTAAATGTATATTTTTTCACAATAAGGAAAAAGTGTGACATAAAGTCATTCTGTTAATAATTAAAATAACTCTAAACCATGAACAAAATTCTTCAATAAGAATTGATTATTTTATATTCTCTATATAGGAAAATCATGAAGTTCTTGCTTGAATTAAAGAAAACTAACTTCCTTCTGAAGAGTTTTATTCTAAATATTAATTATAAAACTAATTATATGGCTATGAGATTCTAGATTAAATACTCCAAAGATCAAGAGTTCAGTCAGGAATTTAAAAATACAGAAAAGTACATTTTATAAAGCAATAAAACACTTTGATATCAAATTTTAAAGTAACAAAAAATTTCAAAAAATGTAACAAAATAAGCCATAAACTTACAGTTTGTCGCCACATGAAATTGAGAAGAAAGTGCCTGAGTAACTGAGTTCCAAAATGTATATAAGATTTCAGGTTCTCCATCCTGTGAACCAACCAAAAAAAAAAAGGATATATTTGTTTAAGAATATCTAATACATAAGATGTAACACTGGATATTTAGAAAATGAAATTTTTTATTATTTAAATAGAATTTATAAATAGAACAGTAACTATGAAAACCCTAAAGGATTCAAATTATCTCTCTTGTTCAGGTCATTATTCATTATCTGTTTGCCACTTATTAGGTCCACTGCCTGAGACAAAAGCCTTGACCATTCTGCTTCCTTGTCTGTAAATTGGGGATAAAAACATTACCAATGCTATAGAATCACTGTGAGGATTAAAGAATTTAATGAAAAATGCTGGACATCAGGACATGACATATAATAGACCTTCAATGAGAGTTAGCTATTATTAGTAGAATTGTAAGTACCATCACCCTTTGATGTACAAAAGGCAATTTGTATAAACATAATAAAATGATGACTAGAACATGCTTAGATCAAAAATGGTTAATTCACCATTTAAAAAAAAAAGAACAGTTAAAGCCTCCGTATAATTAAAAACAAAACAAAATAGAATTACTACTATCCAATTTACCAGGATACAACTTTGAACATATTTTAAAAAATAGTCACTGATCTATGAGAGGTACAGGACACTATGTTGAAAACAAACTTTACAATATTGGTGGAGGGAGGAGTTAGGGAGGTGGGAGGGAAGGGATGGTAGGGGAAAAACAAAGGAGGAAGTAACAGTGCTGGATGTACTCATTATCCTACTCATGTAAATGTAACTCCTCTGTATAGTATTTTTACAATAAAAAATATAAATAATAGTCACTGAGCTAGGTGCTGGCAGTTCCCACTTAATAATCCTAGCTACTCAGGGGCTAAGATCTGAGGATCCTGTTTCAAAGACAGCCTGGGCAGAAATGCCCATGAGACTCTTATCTTCAATTAACCACAAGAAAATCAGAACTGGAGCTCAGGCTCAAAGGGGTAGCCTTGAGTGAAAGACAGTGATAGGGTCCAGGCCATGAGTTCAAGCCTCATGACCAACAAAAAATTTTAACAACTAATTTTAAGTACTTTTATATGTCTCATCTGTAATAACAAATTGCTGATATTCTACTGTTTTTGAAATGCAAAAATGCATGTTTTATGTGGTTTGTGTAAACAAGGTAAATAAAACATTTTGTTTTGATTTTGTCAGTTGCTGGGCTTGAACTCTGGGCCTGGGCCCTGTCCCTGAGCTCTTCAACTCAAGGCTAGTGCTCTACCACTTGAGCCATAGCACCACTTCTGGCTTTTTCTGCTTATGTGGTACTGAGGAATCAAACCCAGGGCCTCATGCATGCAAGGCAAGCACTCTATCACTGAGCCACCTTCCCAGCGCTCCTTGTTTCTTATTTTAATAGACTAACGGCTTTAGATTTACTTACCTAAGAATTCTATAGCCAAAAAGACAAATAAGATAATAATTGATTTCTTATGCCATGATCAGAAAATAAGTTTAGATTCTAAGATTTTATTATGCAATTCTTTATCTCATGTATCTTAAGCATTTTTCTATGTTAAAACATAATGTACCACATTTTAAAAATGAAGGATAATTATATGATCATCTCAACTAATGCACAAAAATATTCAACAAAATTCACTATCTTCTGATGATAAAAACATGCAACAAATTAGGACTAGAAGGAAACTGTAGTAGCTTGATACAGGACATATGTGAACAGGCAATGCTACAAACATTATTCTCAGTGATGGAAATGTGAAAGATTTTCCTCAAAGATTTGAATTCTGGCTCTTACCATTACTCTTCAGTACAGTACTAGAAGTCCTAACACAGCAACCAGGTAAGAAAAATAAATGAAAGAAATACATATTGGAAAAGAAGAAGTAAACTGTAAGTTTGAATATGACATACTCTAGTATGTAGGGAACTAAAGATTACACACACACACACACACACACACACACACACACACACACACACACACACACACAAATACCATAAGAATAAAATAATTATTAATTCTGGGAAGTGATAAAATATATCAATAGAAAAATAATTTTTATTTTTATACACTAATAGTGAACAATCTGAAAGGGAAATCAAGAAAATAATCTCACGTAGAAAAATATCCAAAAAATAAAATACTTAGGAATAAATGTAACCAAGAAAGCAAGACTTGCATACATAAATAAAGAGGAAATGACAGTATAAATGGGTGGAAAACTTAACATTGTTAAGATGTTGGTACATCTGAAAGTGATCTATAGATTTAATACAATCCCAATCAAAGTCCCAAAGGCATTTTATATTTGCCATTAATAGGAAAAGCAACACTAAAACTCATAGGGAATCTACAGGACCTAAATAACTGAACTTACTCCTTGAGAATAAAAACCAAAGCAGTGGCCACATATTTCCTGAGGTCAGTGCATAATACAAATTATCTAGGATTTCAGGCATGAGCTACCAGCACTCGGCTGAGATCTGAGGATCACTGTTCAAAGCCAGCCCCAGCACAAAGTCCCTGAGACTCTAATCTCCAATAAACCACTCAGAAAGCTGGAAGTGGCTGCTGTGGCTCAAATAGTAGAGTGCTTGCCTTGAGCTGAAGAGCTGAGGGACAGCGCCCAGGCCCAGAGTTCAAGCCCCACAATCAACCAAAAAGAAAAAAAAATTGAATGAGACAGACAAATAGAAAAGAATAAAGAACTCAAATCTAAATCTTTAAATTTGATTACATAATTTTTAGCATGATGGTTACAAAACTGGGATAACATAGACCCTTTAACAAATACACTGGAAAAACTGATAAACAAGTGAAAATAACAAAGTTTAATCCTTAACTTAAACCATATATAAAAGTTAACTGAAGCCGTGAGCCAATAGCTAACATTTGTAATCCTAGTTACTCAGGAGAAAGAGATCTGAGGATCTTGGTTTGAAGCCACCCTGGGCAGGAAAGTCTGTGCGATTTTTATCTCCAATTAACCACCAAAAAGCCAGAAATGGAATTGTGGCCTAAGTAACAGAGTGCTAATCGTGAGCAAAAAAAGCTCAGAGACAGTGTCCAGGCCCTGAGTTCAAGCCCCAGGACTGGCACCAAAACAAGAAAAATGAAGAAAGAAGGGAAGGGGAGGGGAGGGGGGAGGGGAGGGGGAGAGGGGAAGAGGCAGGGAGGGGAGGGAGGGAGGGGGAGAGGGAGGGAGGGAGGAAGGAAGGAAGGAAGGAAGGAAGGAAGGAACGAAGGAAGGAAGGAAGGAAGGAAGGAAGGAAGGAAGGAAGGAAGGAAGGAAGGAAGGAAGGAAGGAAGGAAGGAAGGAAGGAAGGAAAATTAACTCAAAATAAACTGAAACCTAAGAATGGAAACTACGAAACTCCTAAAGGAAAGCAGGGAATAGTTTCATGAACCAATATTTCACTAAATCTAACACCAAATACATTAGCAAGAAAAAAACAACAAGAAAAGAGGTAACATGTTTGGGGGGAAAGAGCAATAGGAGAGAAAACACAAATGGAAGGAGAAAAAATGAGCAATGAAGTTATTATATTCAATGTACACTGCTATAAAGATTAAACTACATAACTTGAGGATAGAGATGGGCTGGAGGAAGTAGGGGAGAACAATGGAAGTGGTGGCATTGATCAAGAGGCATGGTACTCATAATCTGAAATATAGAATTGTTACATCTTCATTTCTTATTATTTATCTTATTATTATCTAATAATAAAATTTAAAAATACTAATAACAAAAAACATCTATTATCTCCTGAAGAGAGACAAATAAAGCAACAAAATTTATATGAATTATATGATATATATGTGTTTTAGTATATAATCATATATCATATGTAAAAGGAAATACATATTGTACAGAATAAAAATCTACATACATATCATGTACAAATACATACACATATTCCATGGTAGTTATAAAGTTAAAAATGGACACAATTTTTAAAAAGCAAAAAAATGAGATTTCATCAAACTTCAAAACATTTGTTCAGAAAATAGTCACAAAATGGAAAGGAGTCTATAGAATGATAAAATATATTTGCTAGCCATACAGCTGATAAAGGGTTAATATCTAGAATACATACAGAAATTTTACTACCCAGTGACAAAAAAAGAACGATCCAAGATACAACTTTAAGATGGAAGTATAGCCAGGTGCTAGTGGCTCATGGTTCAGAGCCAGCACAGGCAGGAAAGTGAGACTATTATCTCCAATTAACTCAAAAAGATGGAAGTAGAACTGTGTCTCATGTGGTAGAGTGCTAGCCTTGAGCAAAAAAGCTCAAGGACAGCACCCAAGCCCTGAGTTCAAGCCCAGAACTAACACAAAAAAGAAAGAAACAAAAAACTCAAACACTAGAGAAATAAAAAAAACTTAAAACACATGGAGAAATAAATTTTTGTGCATTGTTGGCAGAAAAAAATGTAAAATGGTGCAGCAATTATTTAAATAATAGTAGGAGGGCTGGGAAGGTGGCTCAGTGGTAGAGTATTTGCCTTGCATGCATGAGGCCCTGGGTTCGATTCCTCAGCACCACATAAGCAAAAAGAAAAAAGCCGGAAGTGGTGCTGTGGCTCAAGTGGTAGAGCACTAGCCTTGAGTTGAAGAACTGAGGGACAGCGCCCAGGCCCAGAGTTCAGGCCCCACGACCAGACCCAAAAAAAAAAAAAAGTAATAGTAGGAAGGTTCCTCAAAATTTTAAAGCAGAATTATCACATGATTCAGTAATCCTATTTTTGGTATGCATCTAAATTCAAGATCTCTAAGAAGGATCTCTACTTGAACACCCATATTCACTGCATTAGTCACAAAAGCCAAGAGGTAGAAACAGCCTAAAAATGTATGAGCATGAGTGGATGAAAAAACATGGTATATACACAAAAAGGAATACTAGCTTTCATCAGTCTTTGTCTAAGACATTCTCTCCATAGTCACTTTAAAATGACCTTGGGTTCCTAAAAGGACAGGATTGTGGATAACATCTTTATGACAAGGAATTGAGACT